AATGCAGTTTGAAAGCATTGTGTACAGGGAAAAAGGGAAAACGGTGGCCAGCTATAGTGCCTAGTCATTGAAAACATTGTTTTTTTTCTTCTGTATTTTAAACTTGACCTCAAAAGTAAACCACACACATAACATTTAATAGACTTATATTAATCTAGTTTGGCCAAAGGAAACTTCTACAATATCAAACAATTAAGCATACATGTATTCATCTTGATATTGACCTTAATAGCTAGCTTTTAAGGGAAACTGCAATATTATCATGGAATATTGAAACACAATGATCTAATTTTGCTCTCAACATTGAGCAATATCATTTCAAGCTTTAAAAGCTTTAAAACTAACTCATTAAATTTAACATAAGATAAGTTCGGTATCACTAGTCATCTGTTTTTAAAGCCTTTGATTAGGGTTTTATTTGAAACTACAGTTATTTCCTTTATATCAGGGTCATAATCAGTAACAAAGGTTAGAAAGAGTTATAACTGTGTTGAAAATATAAATCTTAATATTGTGCTGTAGGTTAGTCTGTAACCTCCTACACAATGACCAACTGAAGATATTATGCATTCAAAGCTGAGCACTGATTGGTCAATAATAAAAATAGGCTATTAGTGCCTTGTTGACCATTGATCTGTAAACATTAAGAAACTGTTTACAATTTACACTTTCATCAAATTTCATAACAGCAGTGAATAAGTAATTGTGAACAAGGGACATAAACTACTTGGGATAGAAAAACAATCCCCTGGAAATCATACAGTCATGTGTCATGTTTTTAGGTGTGGTGAAATTGCATGTATCTTCCCGTGAATGAAAAACTTACAGGTTTTTTTGGTTGATCCATATTTAGAACTCAGTATGCTTTGGTTTGCAAATAGATTGAATAGGTGAAATGACACAAACATGAAAAAAAAAAATTTTAATTTTATGTCAGTGATATAAACATTAAATAAATAAATGTATTAATAGCATTTGCCATGTTTCTATCAAGTGATACTGCAGTCAGCCTTTTTTCGAGTCCTTCCAAACTTTCATGAATTTTTCTATAACTCAGTCAGTAAATTAAAAACACAGAGAAAATGCTATTTCTGTTGGAAAGCATTAACAGATTCCCTTGGCTTGATTATACTTTCATTACATTACCATCGTGTGCTTCTGTGCTGGTGTTGAGTCAGAAATATGGCTTTTAGTGTGTGCTTTCTTACAGGGAGTTTTCTGACATGCAATTATACACAATTTAGCCACTGACCATAAGTGAGGAGAGGGTGCATATAGTTTCACTTTCAACTTTTCAGGCGATTTTCATCGCTATCAGCTCAGGGTGATAATCAACAGTTACAGGAAACAAATAAAACTTTACGCCACAAATGCTTACCAAGTATAAATTCAAGTTTAAAAACTCAACTCATGTACAATAAACTACTGGGTCACTAGTTATTGATGTGTTTGAACTACTCAATAAAGTATTTAGTTCTACATTTATTTACTTATTATTTATTTATTTATTAATTAATTTATTTATTTTTTAATTATTGATCTGGTGGTGACCATACAAACAAGATATTTGCAGTAATTTTCAGGCTTTCTTATATTTTATTTCATGTTTTTCTGGGGGGAGGGAAAACATATTAATATATTTAAAAACAAAAAAAAAACCTTTGTTCTTTGCCCCTTAATCTTTACTTTAGTGGGCCTTGCTGAATTTATTAGACTCTACGGTAGGAAATAATAGAGAATATAATAACAGCTATTTAAAAGTTTTGAAGCTGTTGATCCCAATACTTCTGAACTGAACTCTATTGAGTTGTTTTGGTTAATTATAAATCCTGATCAGTAAGTAATCAAACCACAGCAGTTTGAGATTAAGACTGTGCAATATCGCTGTTGGCTCCACTCCAATTCTTACTTGCTTCAAACAGTTAGTTGTTTAATAGGGCATTAATTTTGGTTAACATTCAGATCCTTTGTTGATAGGAGTAGACTTGTCAGGACGCAGGTTAGCCCTACAAGAACACAAATTAAATTTCTGAATGATCATTTTCTGCATGGCGTCCATCCTCTGAGGAAATTACAACACAAAAAAGGTGAAGTTTTGGAAAATGATATACTGGTACACAACAACTATTCATCCTCAGCAAAAATAAAAGGAAAAAGGAAAAAATGGGAAACAGTCCTTAGTATCAGATTTGAACTGGTGACCCCATGCGCCAATTGGTAAGACAAATATTGAGCTCCTGCATTCCACCAGTTGAGCTATCAAAGCATCACACAATATATGATGCAATTATTATTTGTTTAACAATATTACAGTATGCATAGAGACCTTTACAAAATTGTTGATTACTCAGCTATAAATAATTCATTGCAATAACAAAAACAAAATGGTTCCTTTTAAAGTCAATGATACAGAGATGATTTTCTCTTAAATTTCAAATCCATAGCTCTAACATTCAAGCTATACTTGTGAATGAATTCCTTAATTACAGAGCATGTATGGGAATGCTATTACAAAGACTGTATTAGCCTGTTGCACATTATTACTAATTTTCTCAACTAATATCCAACCAAACCTAACAAACACTTGTAAGTGATACAAAAAAAATTCCACTAGATATCAAAGGAAAACTTCTTATATTTGAGCTGTACGAGATATTTAATTAATATTTAGTTTTAGTTATTTCAGATATTGTTTCTGTAATTATTTAGCATAGTTAATATGATATCTGGAGCCACTTCACAATTCATACCATCTGCCTATACAAAGTGGTGCAAACAGTTAGAAGTCAATCTGCTGACAACCCATGAATTTCTTCTCATCATCCAATCATGATGAAGGCCTAAGGTCATTAACATAATTTCCACATACAGTTTAATGCACAGTCAAATGGTTTGTTGAGTCATGTACCGTCATGTACCATTCATACAAATGGTGAAAATGAAATATGATTGAGTCTGTAAGATCAACTACAGGGTGCATATCCCCTCGTGACTAATTATTATTAGTATAAAATCTACAATCTGCTAGCATTCTATCACAAATGCCATTCTCTGATTGGCTATACTACTCACTATCTATTCTGTTGTAGAAAGTGAGTAGTGCAGCAGTGTGCAGTTGTCAACAAGGTGGCTACTTCTTTGCATTAAATGCAAAGTGTCCGTGAAGAGGATTTAGATAAAGTTCTGAACGACTAGGAGATTTATACTAAAACAATTAGATTATTCACTCAGGATACCTATGCATGATAGTTCACTTGGGCTGTGCCCTCGTCAACTATCACACGACAGAAATCTTGAGCTCATAATCTAATTGTTCAATAAGATAATTTGGTTTTATCAACTGGGTTGATAAAACCAAATTATCTTGTTATACTGACGCAGCACCACAGTTTCTTTAGAAACTTACCCCCTCTATTTAATTGTTGAATAGATTGACTACCATATTCACCTGTGACTTGTATCATTGGTACAAATTAACAAACTGTTTCATCCCTCATTGTCCTGAAATGTAAAACCATATCATAAGTCCCAATAATGAGATGCAGTTTACAGACTGTCATGGGGTTGCTAACTGCATTGACGATTGTTTTATAACAAGCAAATGATAATGAATCGATATCATCAAAGCTATCTGTGACTGTATTGGAGAACCATTGCATGTCTCCCATTAATAGACCAGAAATGGACCCCAGTTTGGCAAAGAGTTACTTATTAATCATTTACTGGTCAATGATCAACGCGTTCAGTAATCATCTTGATTTATGTGAAACATGTAAATTCTCTTGCCATGAGAATGGGACAACAAATAATAAAAAAAAAGAAAGCGAGAAAACAAAGAAACTTCTGAGCCCATAACTGGATCAGGAGCCAATGACCTTTCTCATGGTGATAGGTTGCTCTAACCCCTGGGGGAGGGGACTGCCATAAAAAAGGTCAGGGATGCTCATTGGAAAATTTGAATTAAAGGGGACCAATATGGGTGTGGCTCTAGCTTTAATTGACCCCTAAAAGATACCACAGAGCTATTTATCATCTCTTCAAGGACAACCCTTAAAAGATACCTTGACCACTAAAAATAGTGGTGCTTCATCCTGAACATCCTGAACAGCAGTGAGGCCAGAAGCCTATGATTTACTTCCCTAAGTAAGACAATGAGCATCCCAGGCCTTTTTACATGGTAGTTACCCTTCTCACCTGGGCTCACAGGGAGACTCATGGCAAGCTGGGTCATACATGTATACTAGTTCCAAGGTTTCGTTTCAAACAAGGCAACAAAAAGGTAATGAACCAGGTCACAATCTACCACAAGACTGATTGAGAGAGTGATTGAAATAATTATACTCAGGGTTTTCCCTTACGTGCAAATGCGCATCTGAGACGCACTGTTTGGCTGAAAAATGGAAAAGGGACGCAAAACGGCAAGGAGAACGGGTCCTCTCGGACGCACATGGATCAGGATGGTAGTTTACTACTGACTTAATTTAAACCTGAGTAAATCTGCGAAAAATTCACTTGAGAATAAAATTAGAATTTGGAATCTTTGTTCTGTTTTCTTAGTCCATCTTTCAACTCCCAAATCTG